ATAAAGAGTTTTAACTCACTGGACGAACAAAACGAGGTTTAACTTTCTATGGTCATCTTTATATGATCCCGGACCATAGGCCAGCAAACCTCCGACAACAAATATTTTATATGATTATATTTGATACCCAAAAGGTAACATTCTACTAAAACGGTGTGACTACGCGATGGCTTAACCGATACACACGAAAGACTGGTGGTATGTATCTTTATTTTCTCATTTTAAATTAATTTAGGTTGATTATTTTTATATCTGGCCAATAGGAGCGCTAAATAATGATTCGCACAAAAGTGCATTTGCTTTAACGGAAAATATCCTGAAATTAAATGTTTTCTTGAGAAAAAAAAAAGCGGTCTGCTACTGCAGTCGGGAACGAGTTAAGTTTAACTGCGGTTGAATAAAAATAACTTAACTTCTTTTAAATTTTCGAATAACTGAAAAATGATAATAAAGATATCTTGTACATTTGTTTCCTTCAAAAGCGAAGTAATTTGCTAAAGGATTGTAAAACTCAATTTCCAAAGTATTTTGCATTCCAAATGGTGAGGTAGTAAAAACTGGTATAGCTCGCGTTCGGGAAATTAATGGTTTGTTTACCCTACTAAAATTTTGCGCCCGGCAAGCTTATTAATATTCGGTATCTTTTATTCGAATTGCTTTCAAAGATATAAAGTAAGATAAAAAGCTTGCCACGGTTCTCGTTCCCTTTATTCCAAATTAATAGAGCCGTACAGTTTATTGCTGAAATGTTGGCGCATGTTCGTCCTATCAACTCTATTTCTCTCCCGACATTTGTTTAACCGGAATTTCTATGGGACAGTTAATGATAGCTCAAATGTCAGCAAGTGATGAGTCTTTTATACTTACAGTTACACTCCCTATGGGCCGTGGATTTTGCCTGAAACGAAATATGATTTGTACTGACCGAAGTTGGTAAAGAGAAACCAAATACATACGCACCAGTGTTTCCTAATATTTGATCGTCTAACGACTTTGACGGGGTAAATTCGGTATTTAGCGAATAAACGACAAAATGTGTTAGACTTCCTTGAACTTGTATAGATATATTTTGCCAACTGAACAAGGTCACTTAAAAGTTAACGTTAAAAGACATAAGCACGTAAAACTGTCGGCCGAACACATGCTGGACATTACCGTAGCAACGCAGACGAGGCAAAAAATTGTAAACGAAAAAGTCCTTGCGTTGGAAAAAGATTTGACGAAAAGATAATTTGTGAGATCGCTAAAGATATACCCTAAGCGTAATCTTTCTCAAATAATGTTTGTAGGAAATATTTCCTATATTTGCTTGATACAGGAAAATGCCGACTAAATGAAAGTACTAGTCTAGTCTAGCCTGTTTACTTCGTGTTGTTCGTATATTTCTACATGAGAATGCTAACGGTTCGTTCATTTAAGTTTCGTTTTCGTATTGTCTCTATCATGCCATTAGATTAATCCGAACCCTCAGTTTCACAGATATCGAATACTTACGACAGACCTTATGAACAGCTCGGTATCTTTCGGTATATTTTCAAAAAGTTCTAAACTAAGAGAACTTTGATGCTCAGAGAGATTTGCTTTAAACATGGAGGTTTTTGCCCAGTACAATAAGTTTTACTTTGAACCACTAGCAAAACCTGCCACGCCAAAATCGTCGAAGAATGGCGTCACATAGAAGAACGTAGTTTAGGTATCTGTTACGGTAAACGACGACAAGTTAATTTATCAATTCTTTTAAAATTTCACTTCAAATAGTTTGAGCCGCAAAATATTGACATAACGCTTCGAACACACAAATTGCCAAACCTAACCTACAGACTAGGAAAGAAAGCAAATTACGTTTAAATATCCTCACCTAAAGACAATAAATTTCGTTATTTGTGATGAAGACATTGTTAGGCTTAACATGTATCTTTCCTGCGAATTTCAAAGACTTCTATGTCAACACAGAACGCACTTACTCTCTACACGATTTCTACGTCACTGTTACAACCACCATTTTTGGCGAACACTAAAGTACAAAATATTAAATGAAACTTAAGCTAACTTTGGAAGTTAAAGTTTGTTATTCAGTCGCTGCTCGTTCCAAAATTTGAGATCCCCGGGCGCCGTAAAGCATGAAACGCACGCGGGACATTATAAAAACATTATCCACTAACTAACCGTTGGTTAGTAACTTGTCCACTAACGGGAAACCACATATTATACCTGCATATTGTACTTTACGTGGACATGCATATAGCCAGAAGTTATGTTTCAGCGCGATGTCAGATAAGCGACAGGTTGATTTGGCTTAGGGTGTGCTTTCCATTGAACAACCGCCAAATTGTCGAATGTCACTTTATTAAACTGACATTTATTATTCCTGCGCCCAAAAGCTAGCCTAATTTATTTAGGTAACAATTAAGTCCGGGTAGGATATAAGACGATATCAGATAACGCGTTTTTTTTCGGTTGTTTGGGAGCTGTACAGTGTGGCGAGTGCTGCAAGAAACTTGCCTAAGTTTGTAAAAGTTTGATTATTTCTAGCGAGAACGCATTTACGAAAACTTAGAAATAATAATGTGCTGCATTGGGCATATTACGGACTTAAAAGAACTACAAGATGGACTAAGTGTTTGTCAAGAAAAAAAGAAAAAAATTTTCGATAAATCCCAAGTTCCGGAAATGTAAAAATAGCTATAAATTAGGACAATAAAGTTAAATATTTTACTAAGTTGATAACGGAATGCAACCAATTTCTTTGCATAAAAAGAACGTTTTTTAGTCAAAATCTTTTGTACATATAACCATTAGTGGATAACTATTTATTGAATATCGTCGAATAAAGTCTATCATTATTTACTTCTTTTTCAGTTTCCTCATTGATAAATTGATAAACTGCGCTTCTGTTCGACGTATACACCAAAAACCTTAAAATAAGATATATATAAAGAGTATTTACCGAAACAAGGTGTTTTGGATTTTAGTTTTTATGAAGATGGCCATGTTGCTCCTACTTAAAAATGCCTCAAAACAACAGACCACATTGCCGAGAGTAAATCATGTCTACAACGAAATCCTAATATTTTTATTCCTAATATTAATAAAAACTCTTCATAAAATGTTACCTCTTTAAAAAGTGTTTTGATTATATATTCGGTTGCCGAATTTTAGTGTATATTAACTGTTTCCAAGGTAATGTCCCAAATATATTGGAGACTTCTGACAATTTCTTGAATTAACCTGAAGATAAACGATTCAATTTGACTGGAGATGAAAGAACTTATTTTTCTATTTATAATGGATTATTTTCCGCATAAGTGTATTATTTCGACGATCTCTTGTAAGCTTGCGAATGGAAAATAATTGGCCATATATATAGCCAACTTTTGATATATTTATTATTCTTCTGTGTAAACTGTTTCTAAATAACGTTTAAGCGGGACGTAGAGTTTACAAAAAATTATATTTCTACATGCCGTTTATTCAATAAGGCCTTCTTTGCATTACGTCTGCCAAAACATATGCGACATTTTGCTTATGCGCCAACACAGTGGTGCGGCAAAACAAAATTTCCGAGGAAAACATTTTTGTTACTATATTTTGTGCATCACAGGATAGCTAAACATAATTTTCAGAACTCAAAATTTTGCTTGTTTCTGAAAAAAATGCGATTCCTTCACCTTGGGTTCACTTCTATTTGGTCAAATTCGCACAAACTTTTCCAGTTCTGAAGGCATCATTTATCTACTTTTTTTCTTCTTATCCTGGAAGTCTTCCATAGCATAATACATATTAATTAGAAGTTTGGTTTTGTCGTACCTTTTAGCATGGGAGATTTCTTCGTGATAAACGTACCTATGATTTAGCAAAAATAAGTGCTTATTATGCTCAATAACTTTAACGAAGAGAACAGTTTTCCAATTTACAGCCTTTCTTATTATTAAATCCTCTCAGTTGATCAAAATAGCCTGGCAATATATATGCCAAACTACCAGATTAACTTTTGTCATGAAAGTTTCTTGCAGCACTCGCAATACTGTAATTGCCATCGCTCATTTCAATTTAATTTGCTTGGAAAAAATCCAAAACGGCGCATATTTGCCAGGAATATGTTTGACCTGAATCAGTTACCTATGCAGGCGAAGGTAAAAACCCACTAAATAATGGGCTAGAAAACACTTCAGCTCCAATATAATTGACGTGGCGCAGACGGGCATAAAAGTCATCGTTCTGGCTAGGCTTCTAACCGAGATATAAGTATCACATAGGTAGGCAAATAATGCATCCCTAGCATTAATTCTTAAATATTGATGTTGGTCTCTATATACCTGCTGATAATGCTAATAGACTGCGGGTTTTGTTAGTTCACTTAAGCAATACGTTCGAGTACTTTCGAAGACACGCCTGCAAGGATAAGTCGGGGTACTGCCGACGGTGTCACCAACTGATCTAGGACTGTTCAACGGAGAGAAATGTGTTCAATTATATTTGAATCAAATTACCTGCTGGCCTACTGCAGTGTATGTAATCCATTAACTCTGATACAGGACTGCCCAACAGGAGTTCCTGATTAATCAATCTAGAATACACCAGATTAATACCAGGTAAACTTAAGGATCTTGCGTATATTCAAACCATTCATTTGATCCACTTATCGAAACGTCAACGGCCTCAATAGGGCCTCTTAGCTCAGTTGGCTAAACCGTTTGCTGTAGCTAAGGCTTCCCTTCGAATCGAACCGAGGCCGCAAAGTCTTTCACAACGTGGTCAAAATATTTCTTCAAATCAAAGACTTATTGTATAAAATTGCAGTAGGTTGTTCGACTTGCTAAACAAACAAATACTTACGTATATTTGCGCAGCTAGCAAATTTAACTGTCGAAGCAACTAAGCAGGACAAGCGGTGAGACACGCAGTACTGACAAATAACAAGTGTTTTACCCATCTATTCTTACGAAAACAATGAATCTACAGGAGAATAATAAATTTCAAGAAACCCAGTATCGCTATACTCACCCCTCACTAGCCATGCAAACTAGGAGGACGTTAGAGAAGAGATGATGTTTTTCTGTCGGACTGAGAACAGGTCTCTGTGTAGTGCTTGCTGCAGTTGTACCCACAACGCCGGTGGAACAATTACCACTCGAATGGCCATTACTACCGGTACCGGTGGTGTCAAAGGATGTCTGTCCGGTTCGGACACCACGCAGGCTGCTGTTGTCCTTAGACGTGACAGAGGGTGACTTTATCAGGCCTGACGATGCCGAAGGTGTCAACGAGGACTCAATGCCAGAAGCAGCAGTCGCAGAGCATCCAATTGGATTAGGCTCCGTGGCGGATTCCGCTTCTAATTCGCCCGGTGAGGACTCCGGGTTCAGGTTCTGCGCTCGACTGCAGTCAAACTCGGGTGCGCTGTAGAAGTGGTTAATGAGAACCTGCAGACTGCGATAGTAGGAGGCCTCTGATGTGATCACTTCAAACATTGCCTAAAAACCAAGAGGGAAGAGCAGGTTTCGATAGCTGTACAAACCACTCCAACATATGTAATAATTGAAGGTCAATGAAGGTATTTTCTAAAATTAAGAGCTGGCACTGATAATCCTTGCAAATGTTTTCTAAACCAGGACTTCATAACGCTCGCTGCTTTCGCACTAAGTTCTCTAAAAAAGGTCAAAGTTGCAGAAAATGATCAAAAACCGGAATTGAAAATTAGAACCTTAACCTAAGGCCCCGAACATTTATATGATCTAACTTTGTGGGTTATTGGCCCTACTTATGTGTTGTTTAAATTTATCAATAACCAATTTTGCTAA